TGTGCCTGGCTGACCACCCCTCTTTTAGGAGAGAGATATTAATTCCTCGCAGGGTCAGGGAAGTAAAACCTCTGAGACGTGTCCTACGTTCCTCAAGAAATGAGTATGCATATTTAAAAGTGGTGAGGAAAACTTGAGTCCTTACTCCACCCAGGAGAACCTTTAGTGTGGTATCGTGGAAAGAACCTGGGCTTTGGAAGTAAGCCCATTTGGTTTCTGATCATCCCAGCGATGTCGTCTGTTAACTTTGCAAACTCTTTCAGTTGATTTGAAATTTTCTGAGCTTTCATTTCCTTACTTTTCAAAATGGCCGTCGTCCCTGCCACACAGGTTGTTGTGCGGTTCAAATGCGATCATATATGTGAAGTAGTGGGTACTCACCAAATGGTCCTTTGTGTTCTCTGCTTGGCCAGAGTAAGATCTGAACGGTTAGGAGCATTACTGATACTGCTTTTTTTATTTTTTCAAGATAGTTGAAATGCGCATGTAGGTTAGTTGTGTACATTCAGTCCCTCTCCAAAGGATGACATGTTTTAGAGCCTTTTACGTAATTATGACTAGAGACACAGTGTTAATAGGAAGTGAAGAGGTTTTTAAGTGAAAACAACTCGAGAGAATGAAGGAAGAGAATAAAGAGAAAGAACAGAAAGACTTACACAGAACCTGGGGCCACGTGTGAGAAGTTGCCCCGCAGGGTGGCTGGGGGAGATGCCTGTGCTTCACCCACTTTTCAAGCTGCCATTAAAATAGAAAGACATAAGCTGGGTCATGAAAGAAACCAAACCTCAACTATGTCCCTTCCGAGCAGTGGAAGCGAGTCCTGCAGTCTAGTCTTTGATCAGAGGCTGGGGAAACCTGGCACACCCATGCCAGGTACCCTCCCTTTTTAAATATATTTTTTCATATGATGTCCTCTCCACATTAGTGGAAATACCAGGTCTGTCCTGCCTGAACACAGGACTCCAGGTAGTGTTGTGAATAATAGATGACAGGACATTGGAAGGTTCATCTCCTTGAGAAGCCATTGTGTAGGAGACAGTCATATTTGACAAAAGGTCATGGATAATATGTGTCCTGAAGTCACAGAGGGAGATGGCAAAGAAACGCCTTATGATTAAAGGGAGAGAGATGGAGCAGGGAATAAAAAGGGAAATAACTGGCCTTTATGTCCCTTGAGGAGAACTCTAGAGTATGAAAGACATTCAAGTTAGCCCCCAAATTGTCACAACCTTTATGAATATTGGTTTGGGGCATATTTTTTAATTCCTCCTTTCTCTGTCCTGGTGACTCATCTTGCTTTGAGATTTTTTTTTCAAGAGTTGTTTTATTCAACATACATTAGGCTCTTACTGAGTGCCCGATGCCATCTTAGACCTGCGGAATGTGGCAATTGAGTGTGGTCGGTGGGAACAGCCCCAGTACACGAAGACTGTGCTGTGCTGTGGGATGGGAAAGCGAGTGGTAGTAAAAGAAGGTGAAACCCTAAATAAATAAGGCTAAGGGGGCCATGGCTGGCCTCCCCCTCCCCCTTCACACCTTAACGCCACATGTCAGTCATTTTCTCCTACTGGGGAGACCCTTAAAAACTGCAGCTGTCACTGCTGCAAACCCCTAAGACAATACAAGAGCTAAAGCAGGATTTGAGATAAGAATCTGCCTTTATTAACTGTTTCCAAGCTGCAAGAGTGCTTCCCCTCTACTTAACCCCCAGATCATGAGGTGATTTCTTATTTTAAAATTGAGACATAACTTTCGTACAAGTAAGTGTACAAATCTTAGCTGTACAGATGGATGAAATCTTACATTGGTAGACGCTCATATCCCCACCTCTCAGATCCAGACATAGATGACTTCCCGGCACCCCAGAAGGTTCCCTCGTGTTCATAGTGCCATTTTGTAAGAGGTATTTAGAAGGCCCTTCAACTTTGCTCCTTCTTTCCTCTCACTTCTCAGGTATAATGAAAAGGGGAGGAAAACCCGCCATCAACACAAAACAATACTGTGTGCCTTTCAGCAAATGAATTTGTANCCATGTTTATTGATCACCTACTATGTGACTGACATTGTTTTCTAAGCATTTGGGATACATATATCAGAGAATAGAGTAATAATACCCTAAGTCCTAGAAAATGTTCACATCTTCAGCTTAATAGTAAAAACCCTGAACAGAATGGAATTTTTACTTCAGAACGTCTTGTAAATCCTTCTGGTGAATGAAGGGTGCTACTTTTTACACAAGAGGTAAGGGGTCTTTGTCATTCTATCCACAGAAACCGTAGAATATGAGCTTAGCAATTTGACCAGGTTGGTTCAGGTGTTACCATGGCAAGCAGAAGTTCCTTGAGATGCTCTGATGAATTCTTCTCTCTGCTTTCATCCACTTTGTATCATTTCTAGGCTCCCCGTCGTTGCAGACAGACGGGCTGATGAGTGCTACTGTGCCACCTCCCCCTCCCCCCAAAAGCAAGCCCTACGAGAGCAGCCAGAGGAACTCCACAGAGGTAGGGGGACCGCGACTGACACACTGGGGCCAGAGAACACCTCTCGGGGGAATGAAGCTTTGGATTTTTCAAGCTTTTCAATAGGCAGCTTTTCCCGTAGATTTGTCACTCTAAGTAATTCTTGGTTTATTCCTGAAACCATAAAAGATAGGGCAGTTTTTGATGGGAAGGAACAATAGGCAAGTAGGCCTTTGCATCACTTTGAAGGTCAAGCTTTTCTCTGTACCTCACCCTCGGGACAGGTGGGCGAAATAAGAAGTGAGCTCTGGTAAAGAGTTTACTTCTTCTGAGTGAGTGGCAGCTCTTCTGGAATGGCCTCTGAGGGGTTTCCTTTCGTCATACCACAAATACTTATTGAATGCCCGCTTTATGTGTGCCAAGTACCCAAGTGTTGGGGATGGAGCAGTGTTGGTGTATATCGGATTCACTCAAGGCGAGCAAGGGAGGATAAATAAGTCTTATTTTCTTTTCATAGCAAAGGCTATGTGGATCAACTCAGATCAGTTAGAAGCTAAAGCAGGGTGTTGGAAATACGGAGGAGAAGGCAGAATAGGAAAGAAAGCTAAGACTCATGTCTCCTTTCGTGTGTCTGCTCCCTCAGATTGCTCCCCCGCTGCCTGTGCGAAGAGAAGCCAAAGTCCCACCCCCACCACCTCCCAAAGCTCGGAAATCTGGCGTCCTTTCTTCTGAGCCTGGATCCCAATAAGGATCTTGTTCTCCCTCTGAAACTCAAAGCACCTTGGACAACTGATGCCATAGGACTGGCCTCCAGGAGGCGGTGTCCTCATTACACCAGGCCCCACTGCTGACTGCATTCCTGCTGTGGGATGACGTTCACCCACTCGAAACTGGTTTTGTCCTTTCGAAGGCTTCTATTCGATCGATGCCTGAGGCCATGCAACATCCCAGTCAACGTAGAGAACTCCAGAGTTGGCCATGTCCTATGCATTTCTCCAAAGAGAGAGCTCCCTTGCCATTATTACATTTCCAGTGCAGAGCCCCCGGGGCCTACGAAAGCCTGGATGAGTCTTCTGTGGTGGTGGTGGTGGAGCAACCCCAGGAACCCACTCTTTAGACAGATGTCTTGCTTTGCTTCTGAAAAGCTGTGCTTGAGGCATAGTTTTCTCACGTGGACATAACGCTGTCCCATATGACACATTGGGAGAGACCGATGTCAAGTACTTTGGTAGCAGAAATAATCACAACTTTCTAATGTCTATTGTGTCTCCTTTGAGGAAAAGAACATCTTTTTAAGGAAGATTGGCCACTTTCAAGTATGGATGGCTGTCATTATTGAAAACCACGGACTCCAGTGACCCCTGAGCGGCGGCATTCCCCCACTCACACCCACTTGTGACGTGGGGGAGCTGTCCCTGCCCCTTCCGGGAGTCCTTTACATGCAGACGAATGGCCCTCGCTACACGGCCGTCGGTCCTTCCTGCTGTGGACGCCTTTGAAGAGCTTTCTTTTGTACACACAGTGTCTCGTCCTATTACCTCCTCTAAGCTCAAATCACTGGATATAAGGGACTTAGAAGCCCGGGTTCAACAGCTCTTCCAGACCCCATTTGGGTGGCTCCGCAGCTCCTGTCTGCACCCCGATTTTACCCTGGAGAATACAGTGCAATACTTCCCTTTGATTATTTATTCCTCTTGATTGTGGATTTCATTTGATTACGTGTTTATGGTACTAATGTCAGTACTCCTTTCAGAAGAAAAAGTGGCGGTGATTGAGATGATCAAATATTACCTACACACACGTAAACAGCCATACCATGTTTAAAGACGTTTTGAGCCGGAAGGGCCTTAAAAGTTGTACAAGTGACCTCCTTGTTTTGTAGATAAGGAAATCGAGGTTGAACACAGAAACTCCTACTACAGATTCTTACGAATTACCCAGCTTGCCATACCCAGAT